ACTTTAGACGGGTAATCCTCCGGTGGTCGTTGCGCTGGAACCCCCATCCCCTATACTACTGGTCTGCATTTTAGACCTGCCGTTTGCCGGGCTACTATCTACATGTGCTAAAATCAGTTGACCGCGCGATACGAGCGAGTTTCAACAAATGAAATCGGACTCCGTGACAGGAATGAGATTTACGATGCAAATAAATAAAATTCCTTGAAAGTTTTGCGCAGAGAATTCAATTTGCGAATGCAAGACATTCAAACATTTATTTTGAAATCTTTATTCATTTCTGTATAATTTTCTGATTTTCTTTATGTAGTGTTTAAAAAACGAGTAGGAGTGTTTTATCAGGTATAAAAGCACGAGGCGTAGTCGAGTGCTTTTATACCTGATAAAACACGATCTACGAGCAGAAACGTTGCAGAAACGTTGTAGTATACATTTATACATTTATACAAATACCTAATGAGATGCATATTGCAATTTTACTTTTTTAACCCTCAATTGATAAAACCAATTGATTTATAATCTATAGGATATAAAACACAAGAATAGAATATTTTGACGTTCATTGAATGAAACAAATAATAAATAAAGCGAGTTTTCTGTTTTGCATATCATTAAATATACTGAATAAATTAGGTATTTGTATAAATGCATACTACAACCTTTCTGCAATCAAGTGTGTGTATATATATATATATATCGTCATATCTTCAATGCTCATTCATGATTTTTTCAATAATTCAATCTTTGACATGTTGACCACTACTGTTCTAGAACTTCTCAAAATCAAATCCTCAGCATAATGTTTTTCAAAAATATCGAAAAAGCACTGTATCTGCGAACAAATGTCGCGCAACATCTTCTTTCAGAAAAGAAATATGTAGTAAACACACGCACAAAAAACACTGATTGCGTCGAGAAGGGAGGACCAATCTTGGAGCGGTGAGGCGCGATACATTCTCGTACCCTGCAGAGCCTACGTTCCTCTTGGTCAGTACCGAGAAACGAGAGGCTCTGGCTCCGGATGTTTGATGTTTGTCGTTTTAGGGAACTATTGCGAAAATGATTCGTATAGTTCTAGTTGCCCCAAGATTTTATTTCATTTTGTTGAAGAAAATCCAGACCTATATATTTCACCATAGCTAGTAAAGGTTCCATTGTTACCCCAATTAACTATGATTTCATTGGGTAGTATTTTTTTATCACAAAAACTTGTGCCAGCTAGTCAGTAACCTAAAATTAGATTAATGAATTCAAAATAATCAAAACAGACCTCAGTTGCGTCTACTGTAACGTTGCGAAAATGATTCGTATAGTTTTGCTTCAGAGCAAGATGGAAACTGCCAAACTTCGACTGAATAATGAAAACACTAAATCTTTGAACCTTGATAGGAACGCATGAGCAGGTTTAAGTGTAAAAGAAACACTCGAATGTTCAAACTACAACAAATGTCATTGGTACTAAATGAATGTTCTGAGATAGGCTTATAATCTTAGGATGCTCAAGTATTGAGAATATGATGTCATCAAGTAAATTGAGCCGCCATTTTTAAAAATCCAACACCTTATTTGAAAAAAAAAAGTTACATTATACTTCTCTATCAAAGGTCTTCAATCCAGGCAAGAAAAGGCAAGTCAATAGTTTAATCGAGTGCAATTTAAGTGGATCGGTTTCTTCACAACCCTACCCGCGATCTAATCACAATGTTTGGAGTATTATCGGGTTCCATCATAACGCCTTGGTTGTTGTTGGGGTCCTTGGGAATGGGGATCTTTAACTTGTGGGGTGCTTGCGGAAGCTATAGTTGGCTCTACATTTTATTCGCATGTTTTTCCTTGTGCTTGTGGTTTGTTGGTTTCTCAAGTACTTTTGGCAATGACTTTGAATCTTCAGAGTAGATATGAAATGACAGTTCTACATCACTCAGTAAGTGAGATTCCAGTGAGGTTCCAGTGAGGTTCCAGTGAGGTTCCAGTGAGGTACCCCCCCCCCTCCCCCCCATCAGGGTCTTTACAGAGGTGACGTCATGGCTATTCCTACTACCCCGTGTTTCTAGTCATGTCTGCTTTTAGTTTGCTGGATTGCATGTATTTTAGTTCTCGCGGCACCTATTTGGATATTGTCCTTTTTATTGTTGAACAAAACAACAACATCTTTTCCAAACAATCGATGCTCTTCTAACAAAATCCTTATTTTGAATACTGTTGCGCTAAGTATTTTTCCTTAGAATGATCAATTATAAAATAGAGGACCTCAATGGGAATCGAACCCATAACTTCTGATCTGGAGTCAGATGTGATAACATTACACCATAAGGTCTTCTATGATTGAAATTTTAAGCAGCTATATCTATTTTTTAGTTTGCTGGATTGCACCACATCCTATATTTTACGTCAAAGATTAATCCTAATACAATGTTCTAATTATTCATAAAATATAGTCTTTCTCTCACAATGCCTATTGTTAAAGGATTAGACTCTTTTTACTTTATGCTTTTGTTTCACCCTACGGAGTCCTACGAAGTTGACAACGTTAAACACGTATTTCAATTTTTAAAAATTTATTCATCAAACTCTCAAATATAAAGTAGAAAAATACAGTTAACTTACAACTCCTTTCATTATTTAACTATTAAGTACGATTTTACGATTTTCTATTTTTTTCTCATATTAAAACCGACTCATCATGAACGTAGAATTCCACTAGCCAACATGAAAGAATTAATCGAGTATGCTTTGTTACCTCACAACCCAGAAGTTAACACCCCAAGAGGGCTCAAGACTTTTACCAGTGGATTGGCAGAGCTTGATTTGGACAAGAATCTTATTCGCAACAAAATACTATTGGCAGATCTGATTGCTAGGCAACCAGAAGATAACTATGATACGGATGTTAGCAATAGTGAAACTGAAAGTGACAATGATGCTGAAGAAATCCCAAGAGGAACATGACAGCGAGGACTCGGAATCGGAGAGTGAGGACGAAGAAGAAGAAAGAGAGTGTCCTGCTTGTCAAGAACCCAAATCGTTTTTCAAGATATCAGTGGCACAATACTCGAATTGTTGTTGGCACGAAGCGTATCACAGTCCTCAAAACGAATTAGTCGTGTGTGACGTTTGCATACACCCTTTTGTTATCAGTGCCAAAAATACAAAACAAATGTTTTATCGTTGCGAAGACTGTAATTTAATGCATACACTTTATTCAAAATCAAATACGCTAAAACCTCTTGTTATGACTCAAAATCCTGAAGTGCAAGACGAATGATTCATTTTTTTTCTGACGCAGACTCTGATGGCCTCCTATGATTGTAAAAACTTTTTCATAAAGTAGAAAAACAATTGAGAGCGATAGCCAAGTCGATACCCGACTGGCAAAATGTTTAGTTCGGAGTTTAGCTGTAGTGACTGAACTATGAAAATCAATCAAAACACTGTGTTTGTTGAGTCTTCTATTGTTTACAAAGATTAAAATTGAACTACATGCAAAACCATTTTGTTTGAAACTGCTTTTGTTAGTTTAGTTATCTTTCAAAACTGCACCTAAGAAAAACGAACAGACGTGAATGCTGATAACTTTATTTAACCGCCAACAGTGCAAGAGTCTATGTTATCAAGATTCTAAAAATTGTAATGATGAAAAGGTAAATTATACACCGTGAAAAGATGAAAAAACTTACTGACGTTTCGGACGCTAGTCCTTCGTCGGAGTAAAAGAGAAAGAAGTGGTAGAAAGGAGTGTATATATGATAGAATAAGACAAAAGAAACCAATGAGAGCAAGGTAGGCAAGGAAACAAAAACAAACAGTCAAAAGACAAAAGAAAAGGTTAGTTGAAAATAAAGCGTTCATTAATCCCGTTGGGACTAAGAGTGCCCAATAGGTGAATAAGCCGCATTTCTTTGGTCTTGCGACAATCATTGTTGCCGTTAAGCAAAGAAAGACCGAAAACAATGAAGTCAGAAAGAGAATGGTTAGCTAGATTAAAATGGCGGGAAACTGGTTTGGTGGGATCGTTAATGTATTCTAAAAATTGGGTGAGTTGTTTTCTTAATCAATACAGAAACCATTTCTTTTTTCGAAGCCGCAGGTGTTGGTATTGAACATCATTGTACATAAGATTTGTTTAGTTATGATAATAAAAAGTTCATAAACCAATCTTTGCGTTTTCTTTATCCAAGGACGGAGATCTAAAACTAAAAACATTAAAGTTATGTTATTTCGCAAAAGGGACTTCTTGAAGCGTAGGACGGTATGCGCTAGCCTTAATCTAATTTATCTTATTCTAAACTATGTAATATTTACCTAAGTCTTGAGCTTGGATAATTGCCTAACATTAGGATTTGAACTTATTATCTTTAGATGAATTTTCGCGATTTACGGCCTGCGCTATAGCAGCCCCTGAGAGAAATTTTGTAACATAAATGTATTTATGCGCCAAAGATTAGGCTTCAGAGGTCCTCTATTTTATAAATGATCATTCTAGGGGAAAATAGGGATTTTGTTAGAAGAGCATCGATTGTTTGGAAAAGATGTTGTTGTTTTGTTCAACAATAAAAAGGACAATATCCAAGCAGGTGCCGCGAGAACTAAAATACAATCCAGCAAACTAAGAATAGATATAAAGTGAGAATATCTGCTCTCAGTCTGACCTCTAGCTTAGCCGGTAGAGCATCGATTCCCAGCGAGGTCGGAAATAAATTTTACCTCAATGGAACCTCAATGGAACCTCACTTGAGTGATGTAGAACTGTCATTTCATATCTACTCTTCAGTTCACAGTAAATCGGATAGGGCGGTTTTGGCCCCAAAAATGAGGCCAAAATTTTGCCCCTATAGTGGCCTCCTTAAGTATGGCTATTTTGGCACTACCGGTAGGGGCCATTTTTTTAGCTCTGATTTTGGGACGGTTTTAGCCCCTTATATGGATTTTCCCCTGATTTGACCTAGTTGAGAGTTCCAAAACAGTACTGATAGACCCATATCAAAATGTCTTCTGTGGGGCCAAAATGGCATTGTTCTATTTTGGCCCTAGCCTGGGCTAAAATAGCACTACTTTGAAAAAGCCAAAATGGCTCTCTGGGGCCTCTCAAGTTTACTTTGTTGAACCAATAAATACTATAAATGTTATCAGTCAATAAATGCTTTCTTTTCTTGATTGATTGGCAGTGTTTAGACATGGATGAACATTACACTCAGATTTCCAACCAGTTCGATTATTTATACGAGCCGTTCCACAAGGGAAACGCGTCGATTATAATCAACAGGCTGAAACTAAAGCAAAATGATCTGCTACTCGACATTGGTGGTGCAACTGGCGGACAAGCTCAAGTATTACGAAAGCAAGCCAGATTGAAGAATCCTGTTACGATCCTTGAACCTTGCAAAGCATTGGCTGATATCGCAAGCACAGTTAATGGAGTGATCTCTAAACAAGAGACGGTAGAACAGTTCTATGGTCATTATGAAGCTGAAGTGATGAAGGGGGAGTCGAAAATGGTAATACTGATATTTTAATAAAGATGTGAATTAAGTTTCATCAAGCCAGTTTTTATCGGAAAAAACATCTTTGACAAAAAGATCTTTCGCAATCAATTTCCACTTTAGGTTATCGCGCAAACTGAGCGTTCGTCGTAAGTGACCAGGCTTACATACAATCTAGAAAATAGAGTAAAAAGTAAAAATCTTTAATGCCAATGCCAATAGTGCCAATGCCAATAGTG